TTAATTTCATAAAACACTAATCAGATTTTAGGAGTCATGAAATTATTTTTAAATCTGATTAAAAAATCATGAGATTATTGTTAAAACACTGAGATTATTTAACAAAGAAATGGTCCACCTTATTCTTAGAGAGGAGTTGCCCTCATTTTGTCTTAACCACTGGGGAGAAAAGCTGCTACTCTGTCCCTATAAGCACCCCTCTCCTATCACTTTTTGCTTCTCTTTAATTCTTCAGTTCAGTCAGCCTTTGACCTTTGCCTTCACATTAGGGTTCTGTGAAACAGTACCGTTTCATTTCAACTTCCATTTTGCCATTTCAAAGGGACAGTGTTTCATTTCATCATTTCATTGTGTTTCCAAGCACTGTTCCACTGTTTCGCTGTTTCAACTGATTTTGACATTTTGCCCATAGGTTATCATGGAGAGTCATAAAAATGCCTATAACTTTGTCATTTCTTGCCTCATTTGAATGAAAACTGCAGGGATGGTAGCCCCTTCTGAGGGCATGAAGCCTGCCAAGTTTCAAGGAGATAGGTGTAGGAGTTTCTGGGAAACTGCACCTTGAGGTTCTGAGAGCAAAACTCATTTGCTTGCCAGTAGCAGCAGCCTGCTGTCATGCCGTGTGCAGAGGTGGGGGCCCGCACCCCCAGGAAGGCTGTGGGGCTGTGCCGGACTCCTCTCAGGGGTGCAGGCCCCTGGATCTGCACATGGAATGACAGGAGGCTGCCACTGCCATCTGGGACTGATGCTGGGCACAGCCCGCACCCAGCACCGGGAAGACTGCTGCTGCTGCTGGCACCAGGCAGCAGCAGCAGCCTCCTGTCATCCTGCAAGCAGATCTGGGGGCCTGCACCCCTGGGAGGGCTGTGGAACTGGCGGAGCCACTTGTAGTGCAGCCCAGTGGTGGGAGGCAGGGGAGAGCCAGGGCTGCACTCCAAGCTGTTCTGAAAGCCCCACGGAGCTCAGCCTGGTGGCAGGAGGTGGGAGAGAGCCAGGGCTATGCTCTGAATGGCTCCACCAGCACCACAGACCTCAGTCCAGAGGTGGGAGGTGGCGGGAGACCCAGTGGTGGAGCTGCTCCAAGTGCAGCCCTGGCCAGTGGCTCTCTGCCACCTCCTGCTGCCAGGCTCAGTTCCATGGGGCTATGGAGCCTCCAGCTGCTGGGCTGTGCTTGTGAGGGCTGCACTTGGAGCCAGGGCTGCACTCCAAGCAGCTCCGCCAGCCCCATGGAGCTCAGCCCAGCAGCAGGAGGTGGTGGAGAGCCACTGGCCAGGACTGTGGTCAGAGCCAGGGCTGACCTCGAGCAGCTCTGCCACTGGCTCTCCACTCCCTATCGCCGCCAGGCTCAGCTCCATGGGACTGCAGAGCCTCCAGTTGCCAAGCTGTGCTCACCAGGGCTGTGCTCCGCATCCCCATGGAGCTGAGCCTGGTGGTGGGAGGTGGTGGAGAGCCACTGACCAGGGCTGTGCTTGGAACCAGAGCTGTGCTCGAAGCAGCCCCTCCACTGGTTCTCCTGTCACCAGGCTGAGCTCTGTGGGGCTGGCAGAGCCACTTGGAGTGCAGCCCTGGCTCTCCTCTGCCTCCCACCACTGGGCTGAGCTCCGTGGGGCTGACGGAACTCCTCAGAGTGCAGCCCTAGCTCTCCCCAACTTCCCGCTACTGGGCTGCTTCAAAACTCAAACGTTTCGAAAGTTTTGAAACATTTCAAGTGCCCTCATTTCATTTTGAAGCTGTTTTGAATCCTTTTGTTTCATTTCAATTTCACTGTTTCAAGCTCAAAACACATTGAAACAGCTTCAAAACAAAACACCCGCTGAAATTTTGCACAGCCCTACTTCACATCTCTTATCATTCTCACTGGATCCCTCACTCTCTTGCTTTCTCCAAATTTGCCATTCATCTACTACTTAAGTCTCCTGTCTACCACATGTCCTTTCATATTTCTGCCTACGTATCCCTGGAATTCCTGCCTCCCTAATCACATTCTCCTGCCTCTGTCCTTGCCTTGGCTACATTCCCTTGACCTTATGTCAGTGGTTCTCAACCTTTTTGGTCAGGGCTCCCTCCACAACTTTTTTTAATTTGGTGGCACCCTTGGTTGAGAATCACTGCTGTGCTGCCTCTACTTACTTCAGTGCTTCTCAACTAGCATGATGCCCCAGATTCCTGCCTGTATTAGGGTTTTCTGATGAAACCTAAAATGGGAAGGATCAGAAGCATAACTGAACAGTTTTGTCTCCTAGGTAAAACCCCCTGTACCCCGTTGGTGGAGGGGAAGGAAGGAGAAAGGAGGATGTTCTTACCTGCCTTGAAGTGTCCACAGACCCTGCTGCTCCAGCCAAGTAGTACAAACGGCTGCTCCAGCCCAGCTGACTCCTCTGGCAGAGCAGTGTAAAGGGTTGCTCTGGTGCAGCATAACTCTGCCCAGAGGAGCAGTGCAAACATCCACTTCACAGCCCAGTGTGACCCCTCCAGAGGGTTAGTGCAAAATAGCTGCATCCAGAGCATGCACACTTATCACAACCTTTCCCAGTCCAGCCACACATTTCTCCCAGAAGCACAGGGATGCAGGACGGTCCCACCTGCCTAGCTTACTTCCATTTCCAGGAGCAACATATGGGGTTGGACAAGAAACAGCTGCAGGAAGAGTACAGACTCCAGCCGCACCTGCTGCCCAGTCTGTCTCCACAGGAGGTGCACATAGCACATCACCATAGTTGTGGAGACACCCATATCGTGACACCCCTAGAAGAGGTTCACAGCACGCCAGCATGCCATGGCACCCCAGTTGAGAATCAGTGCCCTATGTCCTCCTTTCCTCACTTACATTCTTTAATCCTACAATCCCCCTTTTTCTTCTCACATTCCTCTGCCTCCATCATTTTTCATGCCATAAGGCTTCCTTCTACATTTCTGGGTAATCTAATTTTATTTTTCTATTCTTCCAGACCAGACGTGGACAATTATTGTGTGTCGTGCACCACTTATCTAGGTTTGGTGTGCTGTCAAGTGCACACATAAAATCTTTCAGAAGATATCATTTAACAAATGATAGACGTAAAACAAGACATATGCTCAAAATTGAACATCTATTATACTGCATTTTAATTCTATTTTTAAAAATATTTTTTTTCCTGATTTATGTATTCTTGAGCAGTGTATATAGAGGCAATTGCATAATAGCTCAAAATAAATTCTTACTCATGTATACTGTATGTGGGAGGGGTGGGGTGTCTGTGGGGAGGTATGTGGGTGGGTGTGATAGGTGAGTTGGGGTGTATGTGCAGGGCTGCCCACACACTAGGTCCTAGGAGTTGGCCAGGGGTGGGGGAAAGGGAGTGAGGGGGATAAGGGGCATGTGCAGGAGAGCTCACTTAGGCGGTATGCTGCAGGTGCAAGTGCGGTCTGCCTGCCCTCCCCCCATCCAACCCACCACTGCCCCTCTGATCACACTCTCTTGCCTGTACCTGCCCCATGCCCACCAAACAGCAGTGCCGCAGACCTAGCCATCATGCACATCTTCCCAGTTGGGCTACCCAAGTACTGCTCAGCTCCCTATGCTTCCAGAGGCTCCTCCTTCTCCTGCTCCTGCTGCACCACTCTGGCCAGGTGGGGGAGAAGCTGCAGCCAGGCAGCGCCTGTCCCAGGGTCTGGGGATCCAGCCACCTTCCACCCATTCCACCCGCCTGGCACAATGAGCAGCTACCTGCTGGCAGCCGAGTGGGTGGAAGGTGGTCAGGAGCTAGAACTGAAGCACTGCATGTTACAGAAGAAGCTGTTTAGCTGTAGCTTCCTCCTCACTTGGAGTGGTGAGGCAGGAGGAGGAGGAGTCGCTAGAGGCAGGGGGAACTGAGCAATACCTGCACCTGTAATGGGAGCAGCCCTGCCAGGATGCTGTGCGCTGGCTGGGGTTGGCAGGCACAGGCTGGAGTAGGCAGAGCTCGGCCTCATGGAGAATGCCATGGGGGCAGCTGCAGACTAGATACAAACAACTAGCGGGCACCCATGCATGGGCCTGATCAAATCAGTCAGTGGGTCAGATCCAGCCTGCAGGCTGCATTTTGCCGATCCCTTCTCCAAACTCTTATGTCCCCTCTTATGCACTGCCTCAATTTCACATGAAGCAAGAAGGAACTGATTTATTTACTGAAGGTATCCAGGCTCAACAAACACTAGAAACAATTAGACTAAGTACAGACAGTCAAAAAGCCCAAGACTCAGTTGATTCAATCTTTGCAGATTAGTCTAAACTGTGTTGATTGAACCTATAAGCAAGTGAACAGACATTCAGTTTTGATTCTGGTAGTGCAACCACATGCCAGAAGCCAGGGGGTGCTAGAGCAGACAGCTGGGTAAAGGCTAGCCTGCCCACCCTGTGAGGGGGAGTTTGCAGGTGAGTAGCAAAGTATCCTAGGATGCTGGGGGACTGTAAATTAACTTGAATCTTGAGGGCATCTGGGACAGAAGTTCAATAACTGATTTAACCTAAATCTGTTAAATCTGATACTACATCCAGCCAGATTTACCTTAAACCGGTTTTAGCCCTTTTGAAAGTGGTTTATGTACACTGAACTTCTATTGTGTTACAGACTTAAACCAATTTCTGATCACTTATACCAGTTTATGTGTAATTTCTGTCCCTAGCCTTAGAGTTGACAGTCATTTTCCATAGAGGTATATTTACTGACATCTGCAAAAGATATAGGAAAAAGATAGATGTTTTAGCTAATGGCAGTGTGGTTTTGTCCCATTAAAACCATGAAGGTAGAAGTCATTATTTGTAAAAGGTCCACATTTTCCAGAAGATATGTGCAATTTAAAAAAGACAGCAAACCAAACCCATACTTCTAAATATAAAGACTTATAATATGATCACAAAGAACTTTGACATCCCAGAATTTCCAGCTTTGGTAAGAATGGCATATTTCTGTATATTTTAAGGGAATATTTAGAAAAGATTAATGCATCCACTAAACAGACCAGTGATATTTCGCCCTTACCCTTGCAGTGAAGTCCACAGCAGCTCCTCGATTTAACAGCAATGTTGCTACATTGATATTTCCATAATGAGCAGCTATGTGCAGAGGTGTGAAGCCACTCTGGGGGGAAAAACATAAATAAATTTAAATTTTTATGTCTCCTTGTCTCTGCAATATTTACATTATAGCTCTGAAAAAAAACTAATAAGCAGAATATTCTCCAAGTCAATATTCCATTCTGTGCTAGTTTTTACTCAATGGCATTTATTTATCAGCTCTCTAAATAAAATGATATTGCTATGCACAAGGGAAAGAAATTAACGTAATTATTTTAAAAGAATAGGACTAGGATAAAACTTTTAGTTATTCCAGCAGAAGGCATTTGAGTATAAAAATAAACCTTTTTAATATAAGAAAGCAATTTCTAAATAGAAATATCTACTTGTTATCTTTATTATTTCAGCCTTGCAAATTAAACCACTTAGAGATTCTTCACAGAAATTTAGATACAAGTTACTTGATGATCCTTGCTAACTACAGTTTATAAATTCAAAAAAGATGCAAATTTAAACAACATCAGAGACCATTTTAAATGATTCATGTGGCTTTTTTTTCAAGGGTTAGTACGATAAACATCAATCTCCCACTGTGGGCAATCACACTGGGTTATGTTCAGACACCACAAGTTGTCATCCTAAGTAGAAGATGGCTAGCTGACAACATCACTTCAGCAACTTATTTTCATATTGAAGTAATTTTACTTCCTTTTAAAAATGCTAAAACATGCAGCAATTCCATCAGTCCTGCAAAGTATGAAACCTTATGGGAATTAGATGCATTTCTAAATTGTTAGCAAGCCTTTTAGCCATGCTAGCTGTCACTGCCTTGTTTTGAGAGTGTTGCAGATTTAGTACCACTCTAAGATCATTTTATTTGCTGACACCATCAAGGGTAAGTGTCATGCAGAAGCCCAAAGAATCAGTCCTGGATGCACAATATGACAGGGATGTCTGCAGCTTTTGACACAGCTGATAAACATCTACAACATTAGAACGCCTGAAACCTTCATTTTCTGCAATGTAATTCTTGTATGATGGTAACTAGTTCCAAAGACTGCTCACTCTTACTTTTAAATCCTAGTTTCAGCTGCAGAAAGCCCTGGTAACTAAACTAAGATCTTCTCTAGCACATGCTACTTCATTTAACCTAAAGCAGATATTTATCCTATACAAGGCAATGCAAAGAGAAGGAGGAAGAAATGATGCAGGAGCACTAAGTTATGGAAGAGTGATGATGCATATATATATATTTATATATACCTCTGTTGTTCTATTCACCATCATCTAGGTTAACACATTTGGAAGCAAAGAGGGAAAAAATGAATGGTTAGTTCACCACTGGTGGCATGGATGCAAAAAGCTTTGTGATAGCTATATGGCATGAAAGCTATGATGAAAGTAAAATAGGCACAGAAAGAAAGCTAAGACTAAATGGAAGCTGGATGATTGTATAATTTAAATGTTAATTGTTACATGTTTATCAGAGTTCTTAAGGTAATAGGATAGCATACAACTTTAATCGCATGGTTTGTTAATGATATGATCTCTATAACACGCTACAGATGCCAGCCTTCATTTCAAATATACCTGACCATTTACTAATACCTTTAATAATAAAAATACCTAGCTTTATATTATTTTATGGGCTTTAACCCCAATTTTAAACAAAGGGAACAAATGCAAATTAAACTGTATTTTTAATTATGTCAAACAGGAGAAGTGAAGTAATTCCTTGCAGCCACCACTTTTTTTTAAAGGAAATCTTCATGTGGCAGCATGCACATTATTAGTATATAGCTTTGGTTACAACTAACCTTTGATTCCACATCAGCATTATGATCATTCTGAAGCAACAGAGCAGCAGCCTTTGTGTCATCCTTGCGGGCAGCAATGTGAAGAGCAGGAAGACGAACTTTTCCCTTTGTATCATTTTCAAGCAACAGTGAAACCACCTGGTCATGGCCTTGCTGCAAAGCTACTGCCAAAGGGGTGAAACCATCCTGTAAACATACAAGAATGACACTCGGCAGATATTCAAAGACTTCTGGAAAGGAAACAGGTGGTATTTATAGCTGGAATATTAAAAGTTGTGTCCAATTCAGATTCAGTGTGTAAGGCTGCGTAAATTAAAGACCCGTATACTCAAACTAAGTATAACTGTTTCAATATCATAAACCTGAGGTAATGTGTTGGTGAACCAGGGGATAACTATTTAATTTCCTCTGCTGTTTAGGACTGATTTTGTTCAGACAGAAGCATAAGAATAAATAATTGCATTAGGCTTAAAAAACAAGGAAAGTTACTAAAATATTCAACTCGTAAGTATACTCAAGAAAGGACAATTGAAATGATACCGAATTATAAATGCTGTAACTATGTCCCTGTAGCAAATATTTTCCCTTCCAAAGAACCTACATTTTTCAGTGCATGACTTCAAAAAATGGAGCTATTTAAGTCTACTAAACATTGCCAGGAATTTGGGTATTCATTATATAAATTACTTCATTCCTGCTTCAAAGTTCATCTCCCCATTCATGAACATTAAACACTTAAGTGATAGTTAATCTTCCATTAGCTGTAGATGAGCTCCTTCAATAGTGGCAAAATATGGAAATTGAGTAAAATGAAGAAATGGCAAGCTGAAAAAAAAGAAATAAGGCACTTGCCTAATAGTCTTTATACTGGAAATCCCTAAACACAGAAAGATGAAAGTAATAGATGCTGGCCAATGTTCTAGATATAGTAAAAATCCATGTTATCTGGCATGAGTGGGGAATGGGAGGTACTGAGTATCTAAAAATGCCAGTTACCTAATGCCAGTAGTTTTTGGCCAGATGCAGAGCGGGGGGGAGGGAAGAGGGGTTGCAGCGGCTGCACATGAAGCAGGGGGTGGGTGGTGGCACCTGCATGTAGAGCAGCTGCAGTGCAGGATGATGGGTGGTGGTATTGGCAGCGGCCATGTATGAGCTTTCCCCCCACCCATGCCCACATTTGGCTGGCTGGAAATTATGGTTAGTAGAATGTTCTCGTTACTCAAATGCCGGATAACAGGGATTTTGCTGTATATTACAAACAAACTCTTTCTTAAGTGGAGACTATGATCTTTATACCAACACTCCCCAAGCTGTTGGGAGTTCATAGAGTCTCCTCCTCAGGAAAACTTTTCAAAAACAAAACAAAATCTTAAAGAAAAAGCCAGGGTTTTGGGGTGATAACTTCTATGGGACTTACTCTTTAGCTGGGAGAGATGTTAGACCAGATTTTGGGCACAACGGGCCTTCAGATCAACTTTCTTCAGCAACCTGAAGAAAAGCTCCTGAGGAAAGGCCCAAAAGCTCATCTAACAGCTCTCTAAACTATGCAGCTGGTCCGAAAATAGATATCACAAAAAGAAGCAAGAACAAAAAACAAACCGCTCTCCCTACTTCTCATGTATTTCTTGGATCATTAACAACACTCCAACCCTACTAAAAAACCTTACACTCCCAACAAGTTTTAGCAAACAGATTTAAGTTCTGTCCATTTATGTACCAACTGATGGGCTATTTAGACTCCATAATAAGTCCATCACAAGGATATTCAGACCCCAACAGTCTGGCTCACACTATGCTTTTTCTTATGTATGGCAAATATTACCATGTGGAACAGGAGCTATAAACACCTTCCTGTGTGAGACCTTCCAAAATTTTTTGTTAGATCAAGCCGTAGATGAATTCTAATGCACCCAACTGCTTTTCTAAGCCAGCACTGCAGCAAGAGGTTTATCTGAGGAGACCCTCATCAAACTAATTGCTGAGCAAGTCACATTCAGTTGACTAATGATATTGTTTAGGTGATAATGCAATCTGTAATGCTATTACAGATTCCATAAGGAGCAATCCAGATACAGAAAAGCAAATTCTACCTTTGTATGAATATATTTCATTACAAGCATTTGTGTTTTACATATTCCCTTTTCCCCCTATAAACACAGTGCCCAGAAGGATATCTACATGTGGTTACAGGTACCTTTGCCTGAGGTGTTTAATGTCTATGAATAGCTATTATGACTTGGAGTGTGAAAAAAATCATAGCCCACCTTCATAGTTACACTGGCAAACCACTGAATGAGAACAAAAAAGCATGTCAACAGTTTAAGGAGGTTGTATAACTATGCCAGCTGAAAGGTTTCTTCCATTGGCACACACTAAGTCTCCACTAGGGGGCTCTATTGATGTAGCTATAGCAGCAGAGTCTCAACTACTGCTGAAAAGCCTTCAGAATGACACATGACAAAATTAAGAAAAATCTAGCTTTTTTTTTTTAAAGTTGGCCTTGTGAGCACACAGCTGAGTCACCTGTAAAAAGTGGTTGTCGTAGCAACAGAAACCACTCTGATCAGTTGCTTAGAGTTCCTTTTATTTTTAGTGACTTTTAAATGCTAATGAGGGGGGAGGAATTGTTGAGGGGTGAGACAAAAATGGCTGCTAGGAAAGTAGTTTCTTTTTTTGGGGGGCACGGGGAATGGAAGGGAAGGGAATGGAGAAGTTTGAACTCTTTACTTATGCATAAAAATAACCATTACATCTTCTCATAGCCTCTGTTTCTGATGATCAAAATGCAGTGGTCTGTCCATACCATATATAAAGCAATTACTGAAACAAAGATCATTAAACTGCAGCCCTTGCAAGTAAGTATCACTATGTCAACAGTTCTTTAACTAGTATTTGTGCTTAAAAACCAACACCAACACTTTGAAGAAAAATATTGACTCAAAATTTTTCTAAGATCAGGACAAAAACTGTCCAAGGGTTTTATTATTAATGACTATATCATTACAGGACACTAATTTACTAGCAAAGAATTTAGCAGAGTGACAAAGGACAACAGACATATATTAAAGTTATTAAAAAATAAATATCCCCCTCACAACAATTATGGCCACATTAATCTCTTATATAATTCTATTAAACTTCAAAGGAGCTTTCCAGGGTGAAATCAAATCATGCTGTATAATCAAAGAGATGTGGGGAAAATGTTAAACTCTCTTCCCACACAAAGGTTAAAGAAATCAAACAGATACATGAGACTAAGAAAGGAATACATATGTATAACTTTAGATATATACTTTTTCAGAAAGCTATACAGTCATAAGTAACAACATATTTTATAGTCATAATCTATTTTTTTTGTGTCTAATAATGACAATTTTTGTAAAAAGCTTATTGATAATTAAACAGTGGTAAAGCTATTGAAAACTATTTTTTCAATGTATTTGTAGAAGTTACCATTTCTTATTTGGTGTCTGGGGGCTTTAGTAATCTTTAAATAGAGTAGTATTTAACTGAAATGGGCCCTGGATTATAAACTAATTACCACCAAGTTCTGAAACACAATTTCAGTCCATCAGCAATTAATAATTTTGTGTTACGTGCTGACTTCAGAAAAAACACAGTGAAGTTTCACAGGCAAAAGTATATACATTAGTACACTGTTGAAAAAAGCTAACTTGGCAAAGAAAGTAATGATTATTTTTAACATTATTGTAATATCTATATAGAGAGAGGGAATTTTTAAAATAAAAATTATTGCTTCCTAAAGAAAATTGATTTAAATAGGAGTAGCCAAATACAATGTAGCATTTTAGAGAGAACACGTGCTTGGCACTTTCTTAGTTCATCCTGCATTTGAGGTACTGTATTTACTCAAATAAAAGATTGCCCCTAAATAATTAGATTCTATATGTGTAAAATTTATAAATTTGTTATAATTTTCCAGGCACAGAATCTAATTATTGGAAGTTTGCCTTAATGTGTCCCCTTCCTTTTGCTACAGCAGGGAAAATAGATCTGGGGGGTCAGGTAGCCCCCTCACCCCCCTAACTTCTTCCCCTTGTTATCCCTTTCCCCCTTGCTTATTGTCAGACCCAGATGTCCCTGAGCACATGGCAGTGAGAAGCAAATTTGAAAACACTGACTTTATGTTATAGGTACCCACAGTCTTAGTTAATCCAGAATGATGCATTTCACCTTTTTTGAAACTGCTACGAGTTTTAGCACAGGTACTCCATGAAACACACTTCTAAATAACACTTTTGTGCCTACTTATGTAGTATTACAAACTTTTTTTAAAATTTACAAAGCATCATAACAAAACCATAATACACATAAAACTCAAAACATCATCAATCTCAATGTACACTAACACACCATAAACTGACACAATCATCTATTTGGAATACATGCCCATCATAATACAAGTTAAACAACCCCCCCCAACTTGCGTTTACACAATATAACTTCCAGTTTCAATTCTTACTTAACCCATAACCCAGTACATGCTGACATTCCCATCCATCATAAACTGCCATACTCAATATACCCCTTTTACCAGCACTCAACAACCTCTAGTTTCCATAATAATCTTTTCTTAACACACCATTCAGTGTCCCCACTACCATCACCCCCCCTCAACCCCTCCTCCTCCTTTTATATGCTTCCTTCAACCAATACCCGCTGGGATGTAGCATTACAAACTATGCATGATATTGGTACAAAGCCAAAAGGCTCAGGATTTACCATAGAATTCACTGGGCTGAGTCCCAGTGGAGACAACAGCATTTCAAGCCATGGTGACTCCACAGCTCAGCACAGCTCAGTATGCATATGTACTCCAGATATCCTCCACAAAGGATCCATGCGCTACTTAGTAGGGCTGAGAAGCTTCAGTCCCTGATTCAATTCAGTGGAGATTTGGCCTGATTCGGTGGCCGAATCTCCAAATCCAAATCGAATCAGGCGACCCTTTAATCTTTCCGAATAGAATTGGAACCCTCCGAATCAATTCGAAGAGATTTGTAAGATTCGGTGATTCAGATATAGAGACAGATTTAAATGTTTTTTTCTACATGCCTCAAGGTACCAGGTGGCTCATGAATGCTGTGATGCTGGGGCGGATGGAGCATCCCACAGGAGCACAGGGGGCTCTCCAGTGCACTCAGCAGCAGACTTGGAAGTGGACCAGAAGTACTTCCAGTCCAGTTCCGGGTCCACTAGGGAACATGTCGGGGGTGCCCCCCATGCCTCCCTGGCTTGGTGATGGGTGCCTCCTGGATCTGGGGATGCAACTGGGGTCCCCCCATGGCTTATTGCTGAGCCAGAGAGGTGTGGGGGGCCCCCCCAGTGTGCTTGGCAGCAGACCCAGAAGTGGACCGGAAGTACTTCCGGGTTCGCTGCCAAACATGTGGGCCCCCCCCATGCTCCTGTGGGACGCTCCATCTGCCCCACCATTGCAGCATTCATGAGCTGTGCGCCTGGTAACTTGAAGTATGTAGAAAAAAAAAAATTTAAACTGTGTCTATGGCCGAATCGCTGATTCTCCAAATCATCACTGAATCTTCAGAATTGGATTCAATCAAATTGAATCGGGGACAGTGATCCAAATCAACAAATCAAATCACTGTCCCCAATTTGGGCCAAATCCAAATCAAATATGGCCTGTTTTGCACACCCCTACTAATTAGCCCCCTAATCATGTCTAGAACCAGGAGTTTTTGCCAAGAGTCCTGGGATGCTCCAGAAATTTATATCTAGATTTTCATCTTAGTTGGTCTAATAAAAGGTGTCATCTCTGAACCAAGAGTTCCAGAGTTTCACATTTCTTTTTGTCTCAGACGAACATGACTACCAAATACATCCCTATAAATTTTGAAGTATCCCAGGACTCACAGGGCAACCTGGCCTGACTCTACTTCACGTTGGGTGGGGCCAAACTAATCATATGAGACAGCCTAAGAGATGGGCTGACAGAGGGATTCTGGGTGAACTGTTTGAGGGCCCATTTGTTGACGTTTGTCAGACATTTAAGGCTAGTAAAGACACAGGACTCATTGGAAACAGGAAAGAAAGGTGCATCTCAGCTGTGGGAGTGAAAAGGAAGTAAAAAAGTATGCAGTGTAGTGGCTCATAATGACTTGAAAAAGAGTCAGTGCTGAGAGGGCTGAGTGCAATGGGCACTACCATATACTTTATTCAAATGGGCTGCACTAACATATCTTTGTGGTAAGTTCACATCAGCATATGCCCAGTATGGACCACATGTTTTATAGTCATGCTCAGTGTTGTTGTATTTAATCAACTTCATAGTTGGTTTCCATTACTGAGCACATGCTGCTTTTGGCAGCAGTTTAATGACAGACAATGTATTTAATGAGATTTCCTTGTATGCAAATGTAAGATGAGGAGTTTTTTCCTCCATACTGTTTGGGGGCAAAAACCTTGTCATATATTTCAGTAAATATGGTATTTGAAAAACATGCAGATTGAAATAAGCAGATTTTAATGCAGTATATTTAAAAATCTTAATATCTCTGTGCTGTTGCTTTCACTACTGCTCTGAAAATTTTGCACTTCCCCTTTCCTTTCAGGAATTCATTGCTGAGCTAGCATTGTCAGCTGTATCTTAAACATAGGGAAAATGAGGCACATAGGAGGTAGGAACTTGTAAGAGAAATCGAGAACTGTGGTTTCCTATGTTAGTTCTATTCAGAGAATCAAACAGCCTACCAGTTATAACCTCTAGTTTATAACCTCTATATGCATTGAGTTCTAAACCTCTGTTTATTAAAAACCAGAACTATAGTGTGATTTTCTTATTTAATGCAATATGTCTTTTTTAAAATTAAGAACTATTAATTTTATTTATGATTAAAATTGTTGGAATGTCATTTGCTCCAGATTGCTTCACTGGATTGTAATTTTCCACGTAGAGGACTGATTTTGTAAAAGCTGCTGAGCATAACCTTTCCAGAAATTTTACTATGTGCAGGAGAGTAACCTGAAACAAAGGAACACAGGAAGCAAAACCTGAACTTTTACCTCTGTAGCAAGACTCTGACTTGCACCATTGTCAAGAAGAAACTTAACAACTTCAAGGTGATTTTCTTGGGCAGCCATATACAATGGAGTGAATCCATTCTGAAAGAGGAAAATATATGTATAAATAATTTCTGTAATCTTTTACAAGCAATGCTTTTTATTGCACATTAGCAACAGTTCTTTCTTCTGTCCCCAACCATCAATTACTTTTTGTCTCATTGAACAGCTGAAATGGTATGGAATGTGCCTGTGCTTGGCTAGCTGCCTTTTCATGGGCATTGGGAGATCTCAGGATTAATTACGAGTGCTTTACAACCAGGGTTCCTTCAACATTTCTCAACAAATAAAAATATTTCCCAGATTATATTTGACTGAATCACTTTAGTCAATGATATGCTGGTTGCAAGTGATTAGAGTTTAAACTAATTCATGAATAATTTTCAGGTGAGTCAGTTTCTAGTCTCTTATAATCAACATTTTGTCATTGGCCCAACAATAAAGAGCACGATCTTTCAAATAAAACATGCAAATTGGATTTATATTGTACAAATAAACAGAGGATTAGCAATAAATTCAGCAATCCTTCCTTCCTGTAATCTAGTATTATGTATATATATTCTTTCAATCTGGCACTAATGTCCTTCCTAATGACCCCGATAGATTTTGTATATTCCATAATCTTTCATGTTATGCAGATTAATAAGTGGAATGATTGAGCTTGCTATGAATTACTGGGACTGAATCATAGAATCATAGAAGTAGGGTCGGAAGGGACCTTGTAGATCTTCAAGTCTGACCCCCCCCTCAGCAGGAGAAAAACTGAGCTCAAATGACTCCAGCCAGGTAGGCATCAAGCTTCTTCTTAAAGACCCCCAGGGTAGGAGCCAGCACCACTTCCCTTGGAAGTTGGTTCGAGATCCTAGCCACCCTACCTGTGAAGTAGTTCTTACAGATGTCTAATCTAAACTTACTCTCCAACAATTTATGGCCGTTATTCCTTGTTATGCCAGGGGGCGCTAGGGGAAATAAGGTCTCTCACAAACCCTTCTGGTCCCCCCTAGTGAGTTTATAGACAGTCACCAGGTCCCTCCTCAGCCTTCTCTTGTTGAACAGGCTGAACCTGTTGAACAGGTTCAGGTCCCACAGTCTCTCATTGTAGGGCTTGCCCTGCTGTCCCTGGATCATGCGGGTGGCCCTTGTCTGGACCCTCTCAATGTTGCCCACATCCCTCCTGAAATGGGGCACACAGAACTGGACACAGTACTCAAGCTGTGGCCT